CGCTGACGCACCTCTTTCCCAAACTTGCAATAAAGACCGTCTTTCGTCTCTCTTTCTTTTTGTGCTCCCAGGGTAGTGATTTTGTCAAAGGCAGGCCTACACTAACAGATCTTGTCCTTTGCACGGGGAGCAAAACTGAAAACTGCTTTGGAGGAACACTTTCCACGGGTGGTGTCGAGGTGCGAGGAAACGTTCCTTCTAGCCCGCCTAGGAAGAATACTTTCCCACAGGCCGTGTCATACTGCGGGGAAGCGGTCGAGCCAGGAGCCGTCGGCCATTTTCAACAATTTCTAACACCGATAGTTGGCCAAACTTCTAAAGAAAAAAAGACAAAATATAGATGTAAATTAGGCATAAAAGTAAAACCGAAGCAGTTTCCATCACACGCGAAACCGCTGAAACTGGCCCGCTCAAGCAACTTAAAGGGGCACTGACCGGATATTTATGCTCGCCAAGGTTTTTATTTGTACATGACATATGAGAGCCCAACTGCTCAGAGCACAATTTGCGGCTCTAAATTTGTTTCCTTTCCACCCGAAAACCGCCGATTGAGAACTGGCTGGTTTCAGTCGCGCTCACTCTCTCTCCGTGGTCACCTGCCGTTTTCTATGGTTTAGACACAACAACCAAAGGTAATCAAAGTCGTGGGTAGTGGGTCGAGGCACACACTCAATAATGAAATTACGTAAAAAATATGATACCTATCTTTCGCGGTTTCTAAAAAAACTGCAAATACGTTGATTAAAAAAAAAACCAACAAAGCTGCGCAGCCACGTGACTTGCAGTAACTTTCTCCTCCTTCGTATGTCTTCTTCCTCCCTAGTCCAGTTTCGGTTTCGAGCAGTTGCGTATTTTGACTTTATTAAAAATATACGTGACGGTGTAGCAAAATATTAGTTGTGTAGTCTTCTAACACCATAGTAAATCGCCTGGCAGAAGAGAAAAAAAAAAGTGGGGGTGTCAGTATCCCTTTAACTTACTCCAGGTTACGATGAAAGAAGAGAGTGGTAGGAACAAATCCAGAAAGGAGATTAAAATTCCATTCGGGCTTCGCCCATCTCCCGGCAAGGGCACTGTCGGGTTGGGACTCCCCGCTGGCGCGGTCACTCGCCCACCCGGCCTTGAGAACGTGTGCTCAAATAAGTACTGTTCCTCGAGCTTCTGTCATGCTGCGCCATCTCATATCGTTTGTCAGAAATGGGAGCAAACCTTCGACACACTTGCTTCGTGGCGAGACGGAACCCCGAGAACATCGACTGAGTGAATAGCTGGCGCCGTCTTTTCAGGGTGATGACACCCTATACGCTTAGTAGGAGAGGCGGAATCGCTAACTATGCTGATATTCATCGAGGGGTCATTATTGCAACTGACATAGCAGCCGACGCTAGTGGAACCCCCATAAACAGAGACCGCGCAAACATAAAATTATTATCAGCACGCAGGAAGTCGGGAAGAAACTCGCGAATGATTTTGTTCTTGTATAAAATTTAACCTTCTACACGCTTTGAGGCAAGGGGAGACTAGAAGAACCTAGGGGAGAAAACATAAACAACACAAAGCCTTGCTTCAACACAAAGCATTGCTTCAATTTGGATTTTGGCATTTTTTCGAATTTCCCTCCGAATTCGACCAGGAGACCCGCCCGTTGTGTGTAATGGTGCTTCAAACAGATGGCGTTACTGTGTGCGGTATCCAGCTACTCTCAGTGTCAACGATAGGCGGTAAGTTTGTACGATGCCGGAAGTTTTGGTCGTTCAAAGGTATCATCCAGTGGTATCATCCAGTCCTAAGTTCACACAAAACTTATCCACAGGTAAGAATCCGAGCTTTAATAACGCACTCACTCGGGACACTATCTCAGCCACAACTGGCAAACACAGAGCTGGACTACGAGTTTCAAGAAGTATACGATTGAGCATACGGGCCTGAGCAAGACATAAATGTTACTAAAGTTGAAGCCTGGCCGAATTGGTATGACATACTTAAAAGGTTAGGTTAGGTTAGGTAGCGCAGGCGAGGGCCTGCACCACGGAGCATCGCGATCGTTACGTCACCTGCGCTGAGGGAGTTGTGTATTCCCTCCCTCTGTCTTGCGGCATGCGTTATGTTGGCCAGACAGGTCGCTGTCTCAATGACAGGCTAAGGGAACATGCTTACAACGTCTCTTCGACGGCTTCCGGTCACCTTGGCATACATTGCCGTGACTGCAGATGCCAGCCTGAGTTCCAACAGTGCGAGGTCGTTAAACGTCACCGGGGCCAGTTGACACGTGAAATTCTGGAGGCTCTAGAAATAGAAATATTGGGTATCATGTGTGTCAGCAGCCCTTCTGTTGCCTTATCAAAGGAAGGAGATTAATTTTCTGGCCACTTGGTTAGCTTGGTTTTAGCGCGTGCTCTCTGTTTGTCTTTTTAGAGGTGATACTTCGTTTTGTTGTGCTCTTGTTTTGGGTGTTTTTCGTTTTAGGCTGATTTTCTTCTATTTGTTCTCAATTGTGCGTATATATTGCACCGTTGGATCCAATAAAAATGTAGTTGCGAGTCAGCGCTCCGTCTGTGTCCTTCCTTACCCTGTCTGTCGTTTTAGGGGCGAAGCTCCTTAGGGTCTAGCCTTGTCCTTCCGGCGTCCGTGCTCAAATCGATCTTGCTCGTGATCGTGCTCGTGAGCTCACGTGCTCACGAGCACATGCTCACGTGCTCACGAGCACGTGCTCACGTGCTGGTGTAGGGAAAAATGATTAAAAAAAATGTATACGCAGTCGACAGGATTCGAACCTGTGGGGGGGACCCCAATGGATTTCTAGCCCATCGCGTTCCCCACTCGGCCACGACTGCGGAACGAGTTGGGGGCTCTGAGATGAGGTAGTAACTCAAGAGCTGGGGATGTCATGGATGAAACGTTGCATGTAGCCGCTCAACGTCTATACAGGAGAGAGCGCTGCGGTCAAATGCGTATATAGTTGCCTTAAACTTTGCATGCATTGGCTCAACGTTTATAGACGAGAGGTCGCTGCGGTCAAATGCTCAAATGCGTATATAACCACGTTCCATACCACGCATTCTCTTTCTGACATGGATGAAAACGAACGAAGGGCACGGCATGCTGTGGCTCAGCGTCTACGCCGACAAGTACCACCAGAGTTTTGCCTCAATCAACATCATTCACCACGTGTAGATGCGGCCATTTTTTGCGCTGTTTTAACGTTTTAAGTCTGAGCAAGACCATGCAATGCAGCTCTCTGGCGAAGTTTGAGCAGAAAAGCATATCTTAAAGACGCGAATAGAGGCCTTCAAAGGCAGTACTACGAACCATTGGAATGAGTTTGCGCTGAACTGGAAATAAAATTCATTCATTCTAACGGTCCTCACGCAGCAATGTTATACAACTGAACGCCAGTACGGTGCTCATCCTAATTGAAACGGGCAGGGGTGGGGATTGGATCCAGGATCCCTGGGATCTGCTGCGCGAGCTTACGCTCCGCATGCTCCGAGCTACGCTGTGGAGCATGCGCAGGCGCCCGTAGCTGTAACTGCAAAACCTCAGCAGCTTTTGACAGCGTCCCGTTCTCGATTTAAATGGCCACTGACAATAGACCCTTTCCGAAATTCAGTCTGGCCACTTTGATCACTATCATCATCTGTGAAACGGCATCTGTGCCATACCAATGGCGGCCTTCTAGTGACTGATAAAAGAAGACGTTGAAGATGCTCCAAAGCGGATCTTGCGAGGCCTGTTCATTCGGGGGGTCAGTACGACACGACGTAGGAATGGAACACGAGAGCTACGTAAGCGTTTGTTTCCAATAACTCAGATTCAGTCAATCTGTGGGCAGCACGCAATCGGCTTTAAAGCACCTTGGTGTATAAAATTTTCTCGAGGCTTCTGAGTGGGTAGGAGCTTTGTTCTGAATGCAGGTTCTTGGTCACCATCGAACTGAAAGTGATTGAGAAAGAACTCACACTGAGCAATTCCTCGCGTGCCGCTGACTTGCGAAAGTGTCAGTGCCGATACAAGTTCATTTCCGCCATTGATATGGCAAAACCTAAACTGCTTTACAATCCACCAGATGGCACTGAATTTCGGAAAGGGTCTATTTGAACATTGTTATCTTCTTTGTCTTAAACGCTTAAAAACGCGTGACATAAAGAAATGGTTCAGCGCGAAAACAAACAAACAAACAAACATAAAAAAACAGCGTGCGAAAGAGCCGGTCAATGATCCGCATCCTCCTCCCCAAGCTAAGATCTTCCTCGCTTTTTTAATGCATTAGCATTAGTGCCCTGGTACATGCGCTAACTTTGGACGAGTTTGGAGCACACGTATCCAAAGTTTGAAACGTCGCCACGGGATGGCGCCACAGCCCCACTGGCTGTGGGAACTGGCTAGGAAAGACCTTCTGCGAGCGTCGAGAGATGGCGGCGGGGTGCATATTTTGGGAGGCTAGGCGATAGAAAGCATAGCAACGGAGGCCGCACTGCATTGGTTGGTTATAGGGAGAGACGCCTTGACCTAACACCTAACAACCGAAGATCACCGGCGACGCCCCCTTCGCCAATTTCGGACAGTGGGTGTATCACGGGCGCGTGTTAACCCACCCCGGCCTCCCCGTTCACATTGCTTCGCGGCTACAGTCTGCGGATGGCTCATTACAAAATATTAACCTTTTAAACGCCGCACTATGACGCAAAGTTCGAAACACTAAAAATGCTGTTGATAATTCACATATGGCTTCTATGAAAAAAAAAAATATAGCCAAATTAACAATCGCTAGGCATGTTTTTTTGCATGTTCCATTTTTGGAACATTGGCGTTTCCAGTATACAAAATGCAAGTGTCGTCTGCAACAGCATTTATCGAGTGAAAAATGGGAATTGCTTCTGTTATCTGACGAGAACCTTTTAGCCACTTGAAAGGGCTTCAAAAACTATAAATATAAAAAAGAATGCGTGAAAAACATGCTTATTCAATGGATGTGTTACTTGGCAGTCAGCGCTTCACAATCACAAGCCGTGGTAAGCTGCAAAGCAATTCTTGTGCAGCCTTTTTTCGCACTGGTGGCATTTGTTGGTAGTGTTTTCCTTTTGTTTTTGTTTTTTGCACTCCGCGCACCTTCCTTGTGTAGCTGAGACAATGTAGTGACCGTCAGTCTTCCTTTCCGCGATGCTGAGACGAACCCGAGGTCCAGGCCGCAGGGCGAGTTTCTGCTTCAGGTAGAGCAGGGACATGGCGACGTTCCTGCTGAAAGCTAGGTGCGTCATGGTGGCATCTGAGCCCTTGTGAAGTTCGCAGTGAAGGATCCATCCTGCGACTACAGTCATGTTGTGAACATTGCTGAAAAGATTCAACCACCTCTTTTTGCGTCGAAGCCTTGGGCAGTAGCTACCAAGGAGGCGGTCCATAAAGGTTCTTGCAGCATCATGAAAAGCCCTTTGCAGTACAAACAGGCTCATGGCTGAGATGGTTAGAGGCAACTGTGACCACTGCGTCGTCGTGCCATCTGCATGCGTATACCGCACCGTCACACTTGTAGTCAAAAGCTCCTCTCTCCTCTTTTGCGATGTCTTTCTGGCTCCTCAGCGGACGACTACCAGTTCTTGTTCCTCGTACAGTCCCCGTCGCTCTTATTCCTTCGTCAGCCAGTTTCGTCAGGATACCGTAAGAGGTGAAAAAGTTGCCGAAATAGACCTCATGTTTCTCAGGGCTAGACAGGACAGATACCATGTTGCTAACCACCCTAAGCCAGAGGAGAGGTTTTGTCATCCTTTTCCTTTCTTCCGCAATATATCTTCATCACATAGGGATATTCATTCGGAGAGCACGTCATCCATTTCTTATGGTCAAATCTAAGGGGCTTCCCGCGTATGAACATTTTGCACGAGTGGTGGCCATAATAGGGCACCATGGACTCGTCGATGCTGAGGCTTTCGTGAAACACTCCAAACTGGAGGGAACGGCAAGGAAAGCTGCCATTCAAGCTGCTGCCAACCGCCTTAGAGGGGCCGCTACCAACAAAACTAAAAACTATGTCGAAGTGCAGGCTCCAGTTTACGTTGAATTTTGCTACTCTGAAATGCCATTGCTCCAAAAACGGAACGTTTGCAAAAAACTCAATGCCAGTAAGAGACGGACAGGCTTTGGTTATTTATTTTTTTATCACATAATGGCCAATGATTTCCCTTTATTTTAAATCTGCTTTTCTCATTTGAACGCCATTTTTTCTTGCGAAATGACGCAGCCCACAATCGACTGTGAAAAAAACCAAAATACGTCATTTCACAAGCACTGATTCAAAGTTTTTAAAATGACAAATAGTAGAAGCCAAAATTTCGGTGTTTTCCACAGTCATTAAACAGTATGCGAAAAAAAAATATTAAAAACAAAGCTATATACTCTAAAAGAACAAAAAATCGAGTTTCAGACGTTCCAATTTTGGAACATTGGCAAGTAAAAGGTTAACCCACTTTGGCCCTCCCGTACTCGCCGTTTCCCGGCGCACCGCCGGGGGCCCAAGAGCCCAAATACGCCCTAGCCCTGCTGTTCCCCACTGGACCTCAGTTGCTAGGTTGCACGTCACCCCGTCGCTCTCTATAACCAGCCAATCCTGTGCAGCCGCCGTTGCTATACGTTCTATCGACTAGCCTCTCAAAATAAGAGGCGGCATAAGGGGGGGCACGCTTTGGACGCCATCGGAAGCTCCTGCCGCCGGCTTTGGAGACCTGTGGACGCACATGGGCTGCGGTTCTGTTCTTCGGCCTGCCACGCCGTTCTTGACGCGCAGTCGTCTTCCATGTCACAGAGCCGTAAGCGCAGGGTGCCGTTGCCCCTGTATGCAGAACATGCAAGCACAACAACGAAATGGCTCTGTCGTTTTCTGCGCGTCGCGCGCACATCCTTTATGCACACGCCAAGTGACCTGGGTCGCTAAACTCGTCAAGCACAACTTTGTGTCCGAAAGTTGCGGAACGCGCTAATTGGACTCTCGCGACGCTGACGTCGCGCCGAGCGAGGTGTCAATCATTCAAAGCAAAGTTCATCGAGGCGCGCGTGCGGCGCGTGAGGGGCGCGAGGAGCCCGCTGATTGAACGGCTTCGCCGATGACGTAGCGCCCATTTGTCCCTACATCCCTACGCCAAGCTAAAATTAATGCTTTGCAGATTGTCCCTAGGCGACCTGCTGACGCTCAGAATCTCTCCGAAGTTCGTGTTAAAAAGAAACCTCGTTTGTCGAAGTTGTCGCTGACGTCAAAGTGACGTTTCCGAACTTTGCGAGAGCCGTGGTTTGAGCTCGAGATCTTCGCTTCGGATCGAGGCGAAGTTAAACTTTGTCAACATGGCGGTGCCGTACGCTGCGGCCGAGCTTATGTTCCGCCACCGTCGGCGTCGCTACTGAGACCACCGGGGACGCCTTTCAACTCCACGACGACGACTTTCGGCGACAGTGCCGGCTATCGAAAGCCGTTGTGCGTTGACTCTGCGACGAGCTTCGTTCGCCGCCTCGGACCGTGGAACAACAAGTTCTCTGCGCGCTCCGGTTCTTCGGAACCGGTAGCTTTCAAGGCATGGTGGCGACTGACGAGCACCTGTCAGTCTCCCACATGACTGTGAACCGGGCTGTCAGAGTTTTTGCGGCTGCCATCGCTTTCTTTTTTTTTTTTTTTTTGTAATATTCGAAGAGGTACTAATAAGCTAGTATACAATTCAGAATGTTGGAAAACAAACAAGAACCGGGGTAATTCTTGGGTAGGGTCGAGTCTCCCGGCAGCCGGCAGAATTATTTCCCCGAAATTCTACTGGCAGTCGTCACTCATTGGCGATCAAATCAGTTCATCGAACGACGTGTCATCGACAGATCGTTTCATCGGCACGCGATGTAATCACACAAAAGAGATTTTCTTCAGTTAGAGGTATATACACATTAAACATTTTACCGTTATACATGTAAGTGGGGTGTCCCATAACTAACACCCTAATTAGTGTAGCGATGGACCTTATAAAAGAAATGTAAACTGCACACCTTTAAAAATGTGTGATTTTTAAACACGTTTCTTAAAACGTATGATAATGCCTACACCTTTTTATAAAGATGTAAAACTACATTACCCCTTCTCGTCAGGCACGTAGCCAAGGGGAGGGGGGCATAAGGCCTGGCCTTCCCGCCCCCCCGAAATTTTCCATTTTGCTGGGGCCTCCTCTCCTCCCTCCCACTTTGTCATCGGCCCCCCCCCCCCCCCCCCCCCCCTTAAACGAAAATCTGGCTACGTGCCTGCTTCTCCTCAAGGTGTAATTACCACAGTACAATTCTTTTTTGGGGTGTACACAGTGGCCCGGGACCCATTAATATGACTGAACAAATAAATTACACAAACGAGTCGCCGACACAGCACGTTGCTTCTTGGCGAGTGTCGAGGCAATATCGTCCGAAAACCGGCTTCAATATTGGCCGGATGTACGGTTTTGCGCCTCGTCCCTACATCCGGCAGGTATGGGAGTACCGATGCAAATAAACGATTTATGTCTAATAGCACTGGCACCACTGATTTCTTAGGAGGCTAGATCGTGGATAGAGGCCTGTATTGCTGGGGTCGAGCGGCACCACCGGCAGTCATCGCTTGACACAACTCAATTTTATTACGTTAGTAGGTTGTTCTCTACCATGAAACTTCTATCATGTTTCCGCAAATAACAGTTAATATTGTGGGCAAGAATATTAAACGCGTTAGAATACCAATCTTGTTTAACTAAATGTTGTGTGGTTGAGGGTCCAGGGCTACTTTGTTGGGCGTTAACTGTTATGTGTTTAATGAGACAAGGGCTACCGAGAGTTATTGTGGAGTCATCCGTGATTTCGGAGTCATCAAAGCTCAGCAAACGATAAGTTAGAATGCCTTTACTGGGGATTTTCGCATCGTTTTGACCGCTTGTACATACTGCTTCATGGTGAAAGCTTTTTCTTTCAACTCCTGTGAGGGCTTCCGTGACAAACTGAAACTCGGAGCGTGCCGTTCAGTCGCTCGACGTGCCATTTATTTAGCAACCGAAGCAAGCTAAGTCGGTAAAGTCAATCGTGCTCCGGCCAATTTTTTTTCAATCGATGTTCAAACGCTTGACGAATGTCTATTTGATCTCCAAGAACCCGACATAATCATCGCAGCACGTCATAAAATGCTCGCCCTCGAGCACCGCGTACAAGCTTCCAATTTTTGCATGTTTCTTCCTTAGACTTGCGTGTATTGCCTCATGATGTAAAAGGCCAAAGCAACAATGACGAAAACGAAGGGAGAACTATACAGGACGCGGCATATTGCCTGTCGTCAAGCAATGGCCGCCGGTGAGGCCAGTGACGGGCTCCCAATTCGCGATACAGACTTGCACTGTGAGAGTTCTAATGCATTACACCCGCCGAGTGCTGCACGGAGAACAGGCCCCGAACGAACTTGCCGAATGCACCCAGTGCAGACTGATGCTGTCGCCATAGATGTTGTAGAAAAGCACCGACCTCAAACCGAAACTAGCGCCTTTTTGTTCAACGTGATGGGTGGGAAAGCGAGAGTGCAGTCGCTGCCATCGTTTAAACGTTGGTTGCTGCAACGTGGAACTTACATTTGCGATGACTTCCACTTAAGCAACTCGGCTGTCAAAGATATCTACAGACGGCGTAAGTTTCCGAAACCAGTTAACTACAAAACAGCATACGCTTGAGGAAATTGATGGCACTGTACGCGCAAGAGCTTGCTTCGTTTTAAGCATAATATTATGAGTGAACCACTGAAAGGATACGGCTTAAATCTAGTTCGTTGGAACAGCTAGCAATACGTTTCGTAAGACTTTTTATTTCCCTGGCATTGAGAACGAGAGCTTTCTCAAAACAAAATATGACGGGGCGAGATAGCTGCCGTTCAAATATGACTTTGCTTGAGTCTCAGGCAACGTCTCCATGTTTAGCCTTCCCGGACGCTCAGTGAATGCGTCGCAGACTTCTGCTGTGGGAGCTTTGTCGAAAAATGTTGCACTTTTCACCCATACACAAATGATGCTAGATCTCGCGGCCTCTGTGGTTGTCCTGGGCCTTTCATTACACACTGGTAGGTTTCAGCGTCTGTACGGCTACAAAACGACTCAAATTTCGCAAATAAAAGACGGGCCGTCGATTCCTCCCTTCGTGAAATATCAGACGCTTACAATTCAAGCTCGCGTTTGAGTTTGTGGCCCGCGGGACGCGGTTTCGAGCAGAAAACCAACTTTTTCTTTCAGTTCCGCTGTGCGAATGCCTCATCGTAGCAGACGAACTCTCGTCGTCTGCTCTCGCTCCTCGCCTGGGCGAGGCATGACGGGATTGTCGGCGCTAGAGAGCCCAAAGACGTCGCATAGCGAGCGGCGTGAACGCTCGCCTCTCCGCGCTGTCTCGTGCTCTCATGCACCGCCTAGGGATCGCAGGGATTTTTCGTCAAAAGTTGCGAAGTTGAGCGCGCGCAGGGAGGAGGAAACTTTGCGGCGTTCTTTGGTCACTCCCGCCGCTACGTCAAAAAGCGAAGAATGTTTTGCTCCACGAGTTTAGCTACCCAGATCTACTTGCACTAGAGCCACTAAATAAGCCACGCTTCAGAGTAACGACACTTACCCACTGGATGGATCGATGCTAATGGCTGGACCATTTATAATGGGCGGTAGCTTGCGTCAGCGAGCCAGAAATCTTGTGGCTTAAAATCATGCTTGCCAGTTATCTGAAGCCTTATCTGAAATCATAAGAAACGCTTTTCCGCCCTCCGCAGAGGTTTGAACAGCTCGCGACAGAGCAAAGTAATATTACATGAGCTTCTTAACACCGAATCTAATGCTGGGGAAGTCGCACTCTTCAAGCATGACGATCGGCAGATGCGTCTGCTCTGCACAAACACAAAGATGGCGATGCCCACAACAATATCGGGGAACGGAGACTCGATACTCTAAGCATCACTCATTTAGTGGCTCTGGCTTGCATCGTAGAGAAGAGGGGTTTCGGGAATGTTCACCCCGTGGAAAAGTGCTGAGGGGCTGCATTAACCATGCTTTGTTAAGCGCCGTTCACGCACTTGCAGCCGAGTAAGACCGTGAGAGACAAGACCGGTTTTTAAGCCTCTTGTGACGCCGGAGGACCGGATTCCCTGCTGCGGAGCAGGTCGTCCGCCGTCACAAGACGGTTAAGAACCGGTCTTGTCTCTCTCCGTCCTACTCGGTTGCAAGTGTGTGAACGGCGCTTTACATATAACCACTGCGCGAAATGCTAACGCATTTCTTCGAGAATCAGCGCGGCAGCATCAACAATAGGCTCGTTCGATGTATGTACCTTCACCTCTTGCACCAGTGCAGAAATGTGTAAGGCAGTGCATTTCCGGTATTTGCATTGAGACACCACCGGAAGTATACCAGCCTACACTTTTCTGCACCAGTGCTGGAGGTGCAGCTAAATCGAACGAGCCTAATTTCGGCCCATTTTGTTTCTTTTTTTTTCGATTACGTATTAAACGGAGGCATTTTGCAGTAATTTAGAGATGTCGCAAGTTGCTTGTTTGAAGCAATTAACAATAGCGTTTATGAAATATGCATTGTGTACCGATTGTAAACGCATTGCGCCGCCAATTTCAAAAAAAAAAAAAAAAAAAAAAAAAAAAAAACCTTGTAACTTGAAAGTGTTGGGCTGTATTCACACTGGCGTTCGAATTGCAACCGCGAAGCGGATCCGCTAACTTTCATCATCAACTGCACCTGAATTTGTATCGCGTTTTTAAGCAACCGCGTTCAGAATCGCTTTGCGGATGCTGTTGAGTTCCCAATCACCATCAAGGCTGGTTCACACAGCAACGTTTTCTTACGCCACGAAGCTTACGTACGCTTGCGTTGTGATACCGCAGGTGCAAGTCACAGGCCATCCGTGCTTCGCAAGAGTGGCTTGGCGCGCGGAATACGAAGTACGGATGTGCCAGTGACTTGCGGTCGTACCTCGACGTAGGCGTACGTGAGCTTCGTACGCAAGAAAACGGTGCTGTGGGAATCAGCCTTTAATATCTAAGAATCGGCCGTTTCCTACCCTCAACATGGCGACAGAACAAATGCTTCAAAAACGCGTGACATAAACTCTCGGCCACCCTGCTGCTGCGCCGAGGGTGTGCCGCGGGTGTGCCGAACTTGGCGATCGAACTGCCCAGCTCTCAATATTTCTGCGTTGAAAGGGATGTGGACGATTGGAAAGTCAGCAACAATGTGGACGAGTTCTTTCTTTTTTTTTTTTTTTTTCGGTTTCGGTAACCTTGGATTTTGAGGGAGAAATTGTCGAGCAATCAAGAAACTTGGGTTATTCCTCACGTCGCTCACCAGCATCTGGAACACGCCATTTTCTTCTTGACATCTTTAACAAAGCTTATTGGGTGCTTTCACTGCCTAAAAAAAAATAACTCAGCCTAAAAAGTGAGGCGCCGTCCGCACGCGGGAAAAGGGCACGGAGTAAACGCAATCCTAAATGTGTGCCCGATTGGGACTTCCGGCTGGAAGTCATCTGAAAAGGCAAGGAGTGCACCATTCGATCATCTGCGTCACTGATTTTGGCGAGAGTTACAGAACTGGCGTTTTAAATTTTTTTTCCCTCTGCAAATACATTGTTTTTAACCTCAGCATTTTTAGGGTCATGCCTAGAGGTCAGTTCCAGTCGTATGCAATAATAATAATTAAAAAAAATCAATGTCAGAGGTGTCGGGGGCCCTTTAAATAGGACGAAAACTCCGGCTTTCTCATAACGCACGCATTTCCGCAAAGCAAATTTTGATTAATGTAGTCATATCCAAACTAGAGTGTATAAGAAGGAGGCCGTGGGTTCCTAGAGGCTAGAACGGCTTGAAAGCCTCTAGGAGAGCGATGTCACTTTTTTAGTGTACTAGAAGGAGGCAATGGCCCTTGGGTTCCTAGAGGCTAGAACGGCTAGAAAGCCTCTAGGAGAGCGATGTCACCTTTTTACCGCACGCAGCTGCGTGCGGTAGAAAAGTGGCACCGCTTTTGATGATTTGTAAGTGATCCTTTATTTGCGACAGCGCGTTTTCGAGCGCCTGGCTTCCGGATATACCATATTTGAGCGACGATAATTTCGTGCATACTCATTGAGCGTAGAGAATGCTGAATAAGCATAAATAATATAGAACGCTTTGTGCGTCGCTGGGCGCTGAGTTCTGCAACGCCATCGAGTGAACACGACCTGCTTGCAAACAGATATGAAAGGTGGCATCTCTTTCGCATCTGATATAGCGCGTCCACATCAAGCAACTAAGCGAACTCTTGATGTATGTACGTCAAACTCAACCTATTGTAGTGCGAGTCGACCGCGCAGCGACACAAAAGGAGTCTCCGGGCGATAACCCATCTCCGACGTGACGTCAGCACGACCGAGTACCGCTCGAGTGGCGTTATCTGCCCGGCCAGAATCGTCGGTGCACGCCCCCCGCCCGCACCGCAGCTCCATTATAGTGACTCGTTCCAGGTCGCCCAGTTAGCGGCGTAGTTTTCTTCTAGACCGCCACGTCTTCCCAGCTCGACCGCTACGATGAAGCAGCCCCTGTCCGCGGTGGTCCTGTGCCTGCTTGCCGTGCTGGGGAGGCCGGCGTGGGCCGGTCTGCTGAGCGTCCTGGACATGCCGCAGCACGACGGCGTCTCCAGGGTCTGTCAGCTCTCGACCGGGGATTCTCTGACCCAGGCGGTCGCCGCTGGGACGCCTCTCGTCGTCAGGGTCGTCAAGGGCGCCGCTAAGAAGGAGTGCTCCTCCGAGGATTTCGTCGAGGTGAGCCTGTTGCCGCCGAATATTGCCAATCCGGCGAGTCGCGAAGCGAAAGACGTGTATATCGACTCGAGCACGCGCAATGCAGGGACGAGCTTGCGAACTAAGATTGACGTCGCTATATTGTGTAACCTCATTAAGCGCTGGACAGTGTTTCTAATGGAGGAGTACGATGCTCTACGGTCTAGGAACGTGTACATTTGACCTCGTTTTTTCTATCGCCCTCAGTCTTGTCATGTGCCGTATAATCTAAATTTTTATAATGTAATCAAACTATTATATCGTTCTACTTGTTTTTTTTATTAGAAACAGTAAATATGTTAGTCAAAGAATGCGCCGAAAGTAAACGTTTCTTCGTTGTGCTGTAATGTGCGGTTTCGGTGGGACAATACCATCTAGTACGCAATATTTCTTGATTGATACCTCAGCTGTTTGACTGCTAATCAAACGATTTGTCAATCTAAGGAGAGGAATCAGGTTAATTCAGTAGCGAATAATCATCACTCATGATTTTTAACGAGAATGAAGTTGAGAGGCTGAAGATACAGAATATTACAGTTGAGAGAGCTAGTAAATACAAGTATCTAGGAGTATGGATATGTAATGGTGCAGAATATCTCGGTGAGTATGAAAAGTATATAATAGGTAAGGGCAACAGAAATGCAGCTGCAATGAAAAATGGAGCACTTGGAATTACAACAGGCATGAGGTGGTGAGAGAGATCTGGAAAGGAGTCATGGTGCCTGGCTTGACTTTTGGAAACGCAGTGCTATGCATGAAATCCGAAGTGCATGCGAGACTAGAAATAAAACAGAGAGGAGTAGGTAGACTGGCTTTGGGGGCACATTGCAAAACGCCAAACCAGGGAGTACAAGGAGACATGGGATGGGCGTCATTTGAAAGCAGGGAAGCGGTGAGCAAGATAGAATTTGAGGATAGGCTGAGGCAAATGGATGGGGAGCAATGGGCACGAAAGGTTTTCAGCGATTTATACATGAGGAGTATAGACACAAAGTGGAGACAGCGCACTAGAAAATTAAGAGGAAAGTTTTTGGGCTATAGTGAAGATACGGAAGAGCAAGTCTCAGTTGAGAAGAAAGTTAAGGCCACAGAAAGAGATCGGTGGCTAGAGGGAATACAGACAAAGACGGCTCTGGAAAGCTATGGATTAAACAAAACAGTTATTGCCAAAGAAAGCATTTATGACAATTCTAGGGCAAGCTCATTGTTGTTTGAGGCGAGGACGGGTGTTCTGCTAACCAGAACATACAGAGTGAAGTACCAAAAAATGTATACAGTGTGCACTGCTTGTGGAGAGGAGGACGAGACGGCTGAGCACTTGATACTCTACTGTAAAGGGCTTCACCCTATGCCTGCCGAAAACAACATAGATTTAATAAAGTCATTGGGTTTTAGAGACAGCGAAGGGAGAGTGGATTTCAAGACTGTAGAGATTACCAAGCAAAGATTAAGTGAATGGTGGCAGAAATCGAGAGAAAACTAGGTATTTTCTTATTCACTGATGGCAAGAGGGTTTTCATAGCCTCACTTTCTTTGCACTGCGGAGTGAATATAGATTTCACCTTCAAATACTCTAAGCTTAAATGGTAAAACAAAATGGCTAGGTGGCGTAAGCTACCGTCCGATCCAAAGGGCTCAGCCGTATTCATCCATCCATCCATGATGGTAAATTTAGCCAGTGGAGTACGACCGCATCATGCAGTATGTGACACAATCGCACGCCAGCGCGATGCTAATCCAGATCGAAACGGACAAGGGCGGGGATCGAACCCATGATCTCTGGGTTCGGCAGCGCAAGCTTTCACTTCATGTGGTCTGAGCTGCGTTGTGCTTCCAAACTCGGCCACCGGAATCTGCCCTGTTTTAAACACGTGTGGAAAACTAAAGGCAACGGAGAGGGTCCCAATATTCGACTCCTCAAAACCATCAGCCTTAAAACGTATCTAAGCAATAATAATAATAAAAAAATAACGTTGAGCTTTGTTTTTTGAGCGACCAAGGCATCAATTACCAACATCCCAAAAGAAATGTCAATAAAAAAAATTAAACGAATGCTCATCTTTGAACGCCTTCTTGATGTTGTGTGCGATACAGCTTAAGTTAAAACATTGCTGTACGTGACTTGCACATTCATGCATAGCCGCACCCTCTGACTGAAACGGATTTTCTGACCATCAAGTTTGTATCAGTATACAAAATATTTTTTCAACAGCCTATTAAGTATTGATTTAATGCGTGAACCATATCATGAACATAAAGCATAATTTTCTCGATACTATTTGTGCACGTTTGTTTACTCTGAGTTTGTTGACGAAGAAGCTCCTTTATTTCAGCTGTGTACTGACTCTCTGGTACAAAAAGAAGAAACTGCTTGAAACTAGTTCTTTGTATAATCATTTGTATTCATAATGCTACCTATTATATTTCGCAGGTTGCAGCTCAGCTTTTGGAGGCCCACGGTGTGAAGTTTTGTGATGTGCCAGAAAGTGTCATCAAGGAATCTAATCCAACGGAAATCGGTGAGGCATATCGAGTCGTTTTGTTTTGAGTACGGCGAGGAAAATGAAAATGCGAGAGCTTTATGGTATTTTCAGGTTTTTATTATAGTAGGAGTCTGATCAGTGTTTTATAAAGTCATCTACAATTCAAAAATGAGCTTTTTTGTTTTATAATTTTGAACCATGTGTCAAATAACACTTAACATTCTCAAACTTCACTAAAAGTGCAACGACAGGTATCCAGATTTTCTATTAGCGCTTAGTTAGATTTATGTCTATCTATGAATGCAGCTGAATCATTTCAACCAGGTGGCGACTTGCACCATTTTACTAATGCTCAAATACAGGATGAATAACTGACCTTTATCACTTGTGAAAGAAGCGTTAGTTTTCGTGTTTTTTCCCCACGTAATGGTAATCTTAGAAAGAAAAGTGAGCAGCGAAAATGTGGGAAATCTGTCTTTGCACCGTACGTGCTGACGTCTGCAGTAGTAACTGTTCTAAAGAGAAAAAGCCTAAAACAAATGGCATCTTGCACGCGCGTACGTCAACACCTTATTTTGATTATGTTCTACGAATCTTTTATAGGGGAAGGCGAGCGCGTGCGGCGTGTAGACCTACAGTCCCGGCATCCTCTTTGATGCTCGTGTAAATTTAGCAATAGTCAGTGCTATAGTAAGGAACAGGAAGCCAGAATTTTGTCATTGGGCTTTTGCTAGTTTAGTCAATTTGGGAGCTGTTCACCCTCTGAACGTTCGACTGAACAGATTGAGGAGTGAAACTTTATTCTTTGTGCAAATACGAGGCGTGCGCGAGACCAACCTTTTTCTGCCCGCGTAGAACACGAGCAGAAGCCAAAGATTAGAATGGTAGTAGAAGCCGTAACTCTTAACTGCTCCAACTGATCTAATAGAGTATTTACTGACAGCCCTTACCTGCGGCATGTCCCGAGTATCAAATTTAGCACCATCAAAGCTGCTAATAATGAAAAACTAAGCTTCTCTCGTATGTTATCTAAGCAACGTTTAAGTGACCATTCTCGTGTCGAATCATCGCTGTCGTTGATATTCGATATTACGTAGACCATGAACGTTTGAAATCGGACATGCTATAGCACAGATTCAGTGCCCAATTCGCATGGTTTGGCTGAAGGTGCCTATGCGGTCCCCTTAAAGGAGCATAAAACGATTTTTGTCTACTTCCGCTAAATACTACTTAACATCACTTCCAAACGTTAATAACTGAGTAAACTTGCCTTAACTATTTTTAGGGAACGGCAGTCGCCAAAAAAAATCTCTAAATATGGTTATCGTTCATCCCCTCAATATGGAGCCAGTACAACCGGCCACGTGGCCTGGTGCTTACCCTATGCCGCCAACGTTAATCATAGCCACAGGCTGGGGTTGGCGAAGAAGCAAACGTGCGCTGAGCTCCAGGCATTGTTAGAATTCGGCTATTCTCATCACCGCAGTGGTTGGACACGAGCCACGACCCGAGTGTCCGCCGAGGTATTGATTGTTACGAGCCAAAGTCGAGTCAAGTTTGGCGAGGGCAAGACTGAAAGAAATAGTCCCCTTTTATCTTCGCAATTTCACCGCGACAAAAGCTTCCGAACCAGTGGCGGTCTGTACGAGTATACTTGGGCCCGACTAGGACCCAGTAAGCATCTGCAAAGTCATGAACATTCCAGCCCGGTATCATTTCATGACCCGTTTAAAGCGGGGTCACACTGCGTGTACCATCATACAAAAGACAGTCTGCAAACAGATTCGAACGCAAGTCACCACGAGATCCGTGCTTCGAATGCCGCATGGCAACGAGTTCAAGAAGAAACTTGGCACGTGGAATTCGAATTACAAATGTCTACACTGCAGACAGTCTTTAGTATGCATAAGCAGTGTGACCCCGTCTTACGGCTCTCGCACTTTCATGAGGTCAGGAGCACATTCTTTGATATTAAGAGGAATCCTCTGAGAAGTTTAAGATGACAATTAACTTCGCTTTGTGTCCGGATGTGCGCCTTTTTGCGCATTGATCAAAGCCTTTCTGATATGTCAGTCAGTATAGAATCAATGTTTTATAATTTATAATCAGCAGCTTGTTTGCACCGAAATAAAATTATTGAATGAAACTAGTTATTATGTGTCGTCATAGTGTAATACTTGTTTTGCTTTTTTTTGCAATCTTGACGCAATAATAGTGAATGAGCGTTTGAGCAATGTGACAATGACAGAATATTTCTGTCCCAGTCATGCCCAGTTTACTAGTTCGTATTTGCATCAGCTTAGGTGCATCCTTTTCTTTTATACTAATGTTTCAGTGGCCGTTGGAGATGTACACTTGCACCGCAGTGGGAGGCGGACTCCATATTACGGAAGAAAAAGCGCTTCTGCCTTGATATCCTGGATTCATAAGGTAAACCTGACTTTATGGTTTTCGCACTAAAATGCACTCCCCGCGCTGTGACTACACGTTTGAAGAGAAATGAACACAAGCTTGTATACTCACCTCGCGTAAATGAATCTACAGCTATATCTTTCTAGAACGATGGACTGCTAACGGAATAAAACTAATACATGAATTGATCACAAATGACAGTTTCGATGTATCTGATCACGCTATCGTGCCATTAGTTTCGTTCAGCAACAAACCTGCGTTTCGTGATATCGATTGGTCATGCTATACTTCATCATGGGCCAAAGGTTTTGATTCTATGAAGTGTATATGCTGCGAAAATTCGCATTTCCGAAACGGTGTGTAAAATATCCTCTTAAAAAAACAAAAACAAAAAAAAAACACACCTGGTCTCGAGTTTACAAGGAAGGATTTCGCCCCGCGGTGTTCTCTCTGTGCTTGGCGTTAAAACAGTGACTGCTGCGCCGCGCGCAAAGCCCGCTGGCCGCCGGTTGTACAAACCTCCGTGTAGCAGCGCCGATCAATGCTACCCGCTCAGAATACTATTTTACGAAATTCAGTCTCATCTGGTGGCTCAAATAGCAGTTTTCCTTTTGCCGTCCTAATGGCGGTAATCGACCTGCAGTCTAGTATATTCCCGGGCGTCGTCACTTTCGCTAGTCAACAGCAAACGAGAATGTGTATTTATTTTATGTATTGTTCATACCCTCAAGCACCGAAGCGCTGTAAAGAAAAGAGGTAAAGCAACCCGGCAAAACGCAAAAAGATGCGGCTCTGCTGGCAAAACAGAAAGCAGCATCTGCTAGGAACAAAATAAACGAAAGCAAATTACTGTTGACTCGTCACGCGGAAATGTAAACAGATTCGCGAAAAATGAAATAATCGGGTATAGTTGCGATATCTGCTGGAAGATGGTTCTAGTCGTTGGATGTATGCGGGATAAATGAATGAAAAAAGGCCTTCATCTGGCAGCGTGTTAGCCCAACTTTATTTTGAATACCGGACAAAAGCTCGCCGGACAGCTCACCCATTTTTTCACACAACCGGACAAAAGCTCACCAGGAGAAAATTTCATATAGGCCTTAACACATGTGCAGACAACCTAGGTGCATGCGTGCGACACTAAAATGCCACGATAAATTAAATATAAAAGGCGCATGGTTTGTTGCTTAGGGTAGAAACAAGTTTCTTTATCGATTGCTTAGAAGCGAATGCAGTCCCCCACTAGATCCAGCAGTCTTGGTAGATCTGGGTGTATCTGTAATCCCTCGAAAATATTCTTCGCCCGATTCTGCAGGCGCAGAGTGGTTTTTCGCACCCGCTTCTCTTGGGGTTCACCTCTGCGGGCATGTGCCAGTGTCGTGGCAACGAACGCCTGATTTTCCTGTGGGCATTCAATTGGCATCCAGACGCTTGGATGAGCGTGGCCGACAAACTTCTCGAACCCAGTTTTGCTTCAGTTTCCTTTTCACAACACCTTGAGATAATCCTTTATTTCACATTTGCGACACTCAATGACGGAATGATTTTAATTTTTCTAGCCATTCACTTTAAATATTAACCTGCACCCGAAGAAAACCCATGATTAGTAAGGAAGAGACATTGTGCCGAACCTTTATGTGGGCGTTTAGCGTGACATAAGCACAATGAAAAAGCGATAACGACAAAGGGTGACTTCGCTTCTTCGGTCACTCTTTGGGTTCAGAAACTTCGATTCACGAAGTTTCTTGGGCTTGGCACAAGGGTTCTCCGGCATACCTTGAGTCAAGCAAACTTGATCATATCAGCTGAACTCAGTTTGATCCCAAATCGTTGCTTCTCTGATGGCTTATTTGTCGACACCTTTGGATGGGATGGGATGCCAGTTCTCCTAAAAATGGTGCAATGACCATCGAGTCCGCACTTTATCCCAGCCCCTGTTTCGCCGAGGGTAGCAAAAAAAAAAAAAAAAAAAATGAGGTGAGCTTTTGTCTGGGTTTCTGAAAAAACGGGTGAGCTTTTGTCCGGTGAGCTTTTGTCCGGTTACCCCTTATTTTGATGGTCCACATGGGAAGAGTACAGCGTTGGGCAAAATACTCGATAAAAGTATTTAAGATAAGTTACTAAATACCTGCTTCATAAAGTATTTGAAGTACTACTCAAGTTACTTTCACTGTAAAGTATTTGGAGTAGAGTACGAACACTTAGATATTTAATTCGATATTACTTTTGAAGGTACTTCCAGATTGTGTAATTTGTATTGACGCCAGTGACGACAATTATACATTTGCACAAATATGGTTAATCAGAACGGTTTATTAGCACGTAACCTCACCAAACGGCAAAAAAAAAAAAAAAAAAAAAAAGGTTGTAGGATTCGCGGAAAGAACAGGCGCCTTTGGGAAGGCGAAGGGAAAACCTTCATTCTGCTAACTTTGGGCTGAAATACGAGTCGCAATTGGCAAAAAAAAAAAGCGACGTTTTCACGAGCTCAATCAACGTCACCGTAGCTAATCAGAGCTGGCAACAGGATTTGCTTGCTCGAAAGAATGTTCACGTTCGCTCGTGCCACGCCCACGCCACTTCATACCAAAAAACTCGGAAAATGGCGAAATGTAAGAAAAATGTATTTGAGATAATGAGTAAAAGATACACA